ACATCACTTGCGGGAGTATTTTCGTAATGGTAATTATTGTGTATTTTAATAGTTTTGTTCCAATTTCCTTGCACGGTGGAGAGAACTTACGCTCACTAATCAAATTCCAAATTTGAAACTAGCGCACCTTGCACAGAATGCCAAAAAAATTGTAACAAAAACCCCTAAATAGGTTCCAAGAGTCAGTATCTTTCACCGTTACGGAGATCCCAATGGTGACCCATGAATTTGAACCACCCTGTACAACTACGTCCCTATGTTATCAAGTACATGCACAGCCAAAATTCTGTGGCGGATTAACCACACAATAGGCTATAATCTAGGGAGTTTTCTTCGAATTTTTTATTTCTCGTAAAATTGCTGACGAACACAACAATAAACGCTAACTTTAGGGTCAATTATTACAAGTGTAGCGGTTCAATTAATTTAATTATTTTTCAAATCAGGGCCGGGCTGCTTTATTAATACCTACCGGAATTAATGTACGATGAGCTTCACCACAAATTGTCTCTGTTCTGCCAGCCATCTTAAACTACTTTTACAGTTTTCAAAATATCCTCAATAAAGTTTGTGCCCCCCACTTGTCTCGAATTTTGAAATTAATGTGCCTCTTTGTGGCCACAAAATCAGATTTGTACCATAGTAAGCCCCAAAATCGATGTCTAAAGTGAGGGGTGCTAACTTGAACTCAAGACTTGTGACGTCTTTTCTTAACAATTCCAAATTCTCCATTTATTATGCCATCTATGTATTTCCTCTGTAAATCTGTTTAGTTTAGATGGAGTTAGTTAGTTTCGTTTACAGTAGTTCTTTATTTTCCTACTAGAGGTCATGCAGATGTTTTCGTGATTACAGCCACCTTATAGAGACAGTGGCGACAATAGAGTGTCTAATTTTTCATTGGTTGTTGAGATCGGCGGCCATGTTGCATCAAGGATTATAATATTGTATTGTAGTGTACGCAACACATGTCATACGTGTATGTGTGTTGCTTACTTCTAATTTCAATTGTCGATGCAACATGGCGCCTGGGCTTCTATTGTCGCCACTATATCCGTGGTTAATTTTGCCCTCCTTGATTTTCTTCTGCATACCCATTCCCTGATCTCTGATTCCCAGATCGGTAATTACTTGAAAAGGAGATACAAGACATATTTTTTTCTTCGGTTTTCGTCATGCTTTTATTAAGGCTTTTAAAAATCTTCAAGGGATTCCAAGAATTTTCTAGAGACTTCGGGCGCCTTTGTTTGACATTCCTGCTCCCATTAATCACCAACTGCTTAAAAGCACTTATGAGTTATGAGTGTTTGAAACTAACCTTTAACAACTTTTAAGAACACTAACGAGTACTTAAGAGCGTCTAAGAACTTTTAAGATTCGCTAGATTCGCATACGGTCTCGAAGGGTCTTCAAGAACCTCCAGAACTTTCTAAATGCTGTCGAGTTTTTTCGAAGCATTTGTTGTTTAAAAGGCTAACGTTAAGAGCCATTAAGTATAACATTTTCAAGTATTTAAAGGCGTGCAAAGGTCTGCATCATAGTAACTGTTGAATAATTTATAGAGGAAGGTGGTATGCGGTCACTACACTACCCACAAAACACCTGTCCAGCTATCCTAAAACATATCAAAATTGAAACTTAGATGTTATAATCTCTTCTCGTACGCATCCGGTATCTGCCAGAAAAAAAATCCTAAAATGACAACATTTCTTAATTTGAGAGACCTCGATCAACTTTCAAAAATGTCAAAGAATTTATTAGACAAGTATACAACTACAAATCTTTGCACGAATAGAAAAAATTTGACATGAAAACTCTATCTGGATCGCAGTTTAGATTCGAATAAGCACACAATTAATTGACAAACAAGAATTACGCATTAACAAAGTTTCTAAAAGGCAAAACAACACTGAAATCCAAATTCAAATAAAATGAACTAACACGAACTAACGCTCGAAACAGTCGAATATCTCGACTATATTTGAACCGATTTTTTTCAA